ATGCTCCTTGAATAGTGTAGCAATTTGGGATATTTGGGGTTTGATTTGGACTTGATTTGAGTTTGAAATGAATTATGAAAGAGGGGTTTTGGGATGTGTTGTTTTAAAAGATTGTGGGATGGTTATGTTGATATGTACTATTGGAAATTATGGAATTTCTCCTGAAAGAGGATTTTTGGATAAAACAAATGTTCTTTTGAAATATTGAAAATCCTTGGGATTGATTAGTTTTGGAACAAAGATGAAAAATGGTAGGATTGTGGAATAATGATGTAATTCATGTTTGATTAGGAAGAACGAGTTAACATGTATTATTACTCCTATGTTGAAATTTTTGAAAATTATATTTGTTGCTTGAAATTTATCTTTGAATAGAGATATCTGTTTTAGGCTATCAGCTATTTTAGGCTATCAGTGAAGGATAACATTGATTGTTGTAGAAATTGCATGAAAACTAGATTAATTGAAACCATTTACTCATGCATTGCATTTTGACACTTGTTTCATATTCTTATATTGAAAATGTATCGTTTTGAGAAAAATGGGTGAATACCGTGGTGAATATGGTTAGGGGTGGTAGTTGTGGTTCTTGTTATGTTGGCATGTGTATTCTTGGTAAAAGTCCAGAAATCTGCGAAATTAGGTGCCGATCCTTCCAGTTAGTACTGGTAAAATGACTTTGGTAGTGCTTGTATAACTTACTGGCAACCATGTACGTATAGATTCCCATTGTGTGTATCCACTACCCTGTTTTCTATTTTGGAAGTAATGGTTTATGAATTGAATTATAAACATGGTATTTCATTTTGGAAAGAGAAAACATATAATGTTTTGGTAAATGGCATTCATGTGTATTCACCATATGGTTTTGTTAAGCATCATATAGAGCATTAAACTTATTTCTACTGAGTATTGGCTTACCTTGTAACGCCCTCAAAATAATACATAAAACCCATCACTTTAGACATGCATTGATATAAAAGAAACCGACCATTTCTATTCATCCGAGTAATTCTTACAACTGTATTACATGTTAACAACAAAAGCAAATGCCCTAAGGGCTTACAGCTTTCCAAGTCAACACCTGGTTACACAAAAGAAGAGTACTAACTCTATATAAAATAAGCCCTTGGCTTGATATACATGTAATACAAACAAAATAAACAAAAAGAAAGAATCTTCAACTCTCATCATCATCCAAGCTATGTCCTTGGAGGTGGCATACTACCTGTACCTGAAAATAATATCCCATAAAGGGTGAGCCAACGCCCAGTAGAGATATACTAAACACAGTATGACCAATGACTAAGACATTAGCAATTGATAAATGTTCAATTTCCATAAACCAATTCATAATCCATTTCCATTTCATGACCACTATGTTCATGTTTCATTTTGATTTCCATTTCACAATTTACATCAACGGCTCAGAACCTAGCCAACCACTTATATGAGACAGTGACTCATATTAAACATTTCCCAATTTTTTACAATAGATAAACATACTAGTTGTATCAACATCTCAACAGATAAGCATACAAGCTGTATCCACATTTCAACAGATATGCATATTAGCTATATCAACACTTCCGAAGATAAGCATATGAGCTGTATCAACACTTCCAAAGATAAGCATATGAGCTATATCAACACATTATCTGACAAGCATATGAGCTGTATCAGTGGAGTCCATCCCCTATCTCCTCCCAAACAACATCCGGTTTAGAGGTCCATCCCCTATCTTCCCCTAAACCGTGGAGTACATCCCCTATCTCCTCCCACACACACAACGTATATACACAAAGGTCATATACACAATCAATCAATACATAACGTTAATGTATTCTATCAACCATCATACTCTATGACATATCCAATTGATTAGTTTTAGTTTGCCTAATCATCATGCATTGTCTACAACAATCAAAACTACCCTCCACCAGTAGCCCAAGCAATTATTTCTAAACAGATAATAAAAGCTCCAACAGATAAAATATCAATGTTTTCAAAAGTGAGCGATTAATAAATCTAACTCCACTATTCAACCATATAATGACGCAATTCCATTATTTCCAACTCAATTCCATATAACCACAATTCCAAAATATAGGGTTTTCCACCCGGTTTCCAAATATTGACCCATGGTCTAAATATCAACAACAACAAGCGATATCATTATTTTTGAACCCACAATACATATTTTTAGACTCAAAAATAACAAATCCTCTTTTACATTTTGAAACCCTAAGTCCCAAAATTACCAACTTCAACACTTCATCAAAACAACCAAAATCTAGGTCAAAGACCATAAGAGTGAGTAGGGAATCCTACCTCAATTCGAAGCTCAAGAAAAAGAAGATGAAGATACTTAACGTGCTCCAAAACTCAATATACTCGATCAAACGTAGCCCTCGACGATACCCAACCCTTACAAAGGCCGAAGGGAAGGCGAAGCACTCTAACTAGATCAGACCCTAGAGAGAAGGGAGTTTCTAGAGAGAGGAACTCTCAAAATGGCTTTTTTAGAAAGTAAGAGAGAAGAGAGAATGTAAAAAGTGATTTTAAACATGCCCAGCTGCCAACTGATATACGACATTCCTGCTCGAGCGGAGAACACCAACGCTCGAGCGTAAGAACAAGAAAAACTAAGGTCTGCTCGAGCGCAATAAGGCCGTTCAAGCCGCCAAGACACAAGAATAAAGTACATCCGCTCCGAGCGTTGAAAACCAGTCCGCTCGAGCGTAAGATTTCCCCTCCCAGAACTTACACCGAAAAGTACTACCGCTCGAGCACCACCCGCTCGAGCACAAAGAAATACCGCCGCTGCATGAAAAACATGCTTGCAGAAGTTCTGCAGAGCACCAAAATACTGGGAGCATGCAATCTCCGCTCGAGCGCAAGAAGACCCGCTCGAGCGGACCTCTTAAAAACTGGGCAACAAAGAATTCAAACCAAGGCCTAACCCACCTGTAACAACTCTGCCCAATACATCCTAAAACTCAATCAAGCGGAATTAAAGGATGACAACAAGGTATACCACCACCAACATCACGGAACCGAGTCCGGAATACAACAGAATAGTAAAGGGACAATCGGGATCGCTATATACCCTATGTGGAAAACAAATTTCAGGTACTGATGATATGCCAACTGAGGAGCTGAAGGCTCATTCTATATTTTATTTTGTAAATGTATTTTGTACAAGCCTAGGGCTTTCATTTATATTGGGTATCGACCCACTTTTGCTGTAACCAAGCATTGTCCTGGAAACTTGTAACCATTTGAGCATAAACTTCTCTTTATTTCTTTGTTTCTATGAATGTTTGTCACATGCTATAGATTTTTTAGGACAAAAATTTTCGTTATTGATTTTTTTTAGGACAATAATACTCATACCTATTAGAGATGGCCATCGACCCGTTGGCCCGCTCAACTAGCCCAGCCCAACCCAATCCGATATTTTTAGGATTTGAGAAAATTATTTTTCCCATAAAGCCGCGTTGGGCTAAGATGTTGTGCCCATTTAATATTCAGGTTAGGTTTGGGATAAAGAGTTCTAACCAGTCCCGTCCCGTCCCGTCCCGCCCCCGCCCCATTAAAATAGTAATTATAATTTATATTATTTTAGTTATAAAATATAGAAGACAAAAATATATATACTTCTTTCTAAGGCTTACATTAGTTAAAAATTAAATTTATTTTACCATTGAATTTTATTAACATTTCGAATCCAAATATTAAATAAAAGGATCTATTAATATTTATTAAAGACAATAAAAGTATAAAAAATAATAACTCATATCTATTGGGCTAAATAAGTGAGCTTTGAATTTGAATTTTTTTTAGGAATAGGTTTGAGATGGCTAGATGAGCTTAAATGTTGGGCCATACTGAGTTTGTGACGACACATATCCTCTTATTATAAGGCAAATGTCACTTCATTCCCTGTGGTTTTGGGCAATGTGTGATTTACCCCCCTAATATTTGAAAATGACCACATAAACCCCACGTGGTTTGTGGATTGAAGTGTACCGTTAAACATTCTGTCTAACTTAATAGTAACTATGAAACACGTGGCAAATATAAGGGGATTATATGTTCATTTTCAAATTTCAAGAGGGTATATCGCACATGAAATAAAGTACAGGGGTTAAATCACACATGAAATAAAGCATAGGGGATTACAGAGTACTTTTCTTTTGAAACAAATGACAAAAATATAGGTCTATTTTAGTCTTTTTTATTAATTTGTTAACGGACCTAATAGTACACTTCAGTCCACAAACTACAAGGGAATTATTAGGGGGATAAACCACATATAGCCCAAACTAGGGATAAAGTGAAGTTTGCCCCTTACTATATAGTGTAAAAGTCTGACCTAACCTGAGGTTTGTCCACCCCTAATACCTATTGATCTTATCTGCACTTTACCTCTCTTAGTTTAATAATAAAGTGCAAATGGGATTACTAGATAATATATTATTGTCTTACAAAATCAATAAATATGTCATATATTTTATGACCTGATTTTGTATAAATTTCTAACAGAACGAGTTATTGTAAAATAATATTTTAAGGTGGTTAATTGTTGAGTTTTAAAGTTCAAAAAATAAAAATACAAATGGATCGTAATTTAAAGAAATTTATCCCAAAAAAGGGTGTTTGGGAATATTATATTTTAATTAATTTTAAATTTTTTACGAAAAAACGTACAAAAAAATAAAACGAATAATATGATTAAATATTTTATTTTATTAATTATTTTAACTTAACTTGTCCAATGAGGCCAAAATAGCACTTTACTATTTTCAGAAATTTTTCCGTTTTGGGGTGAAATTATTTTTGTTTTTTATTATTAAAAAAAAAACTTGAAAACAAAATTATTTTAAGTTGCCGTAAATGCCCTTGTATGCCGCATTATATAATTACTTGGAACTTCCCATATGGTCCGGTGAGGTTAGGGTTTTGCGGAGGACAACAAAAGCCCAGACTGTCGAGAGGTTTTAGGAAGTGCGAGTGAGAGAGAAAGAGAGAGAGAGAGAGAGGAAGGCATAGCCATGAGCAGGAGCTTGGGAATACCGGTGAAGCTTCTACACGAGGCAGTTGGACGCGTGGTGACCATGGAACTGAAGAGTGGAGAGCTCTACAGAGGTAGCATGATCGAGTGCGAAGACAATTGGAATTGCCAACTCGAGAACATCACTTTCACTGCTAAGGTACTCTCTCTTTCTCTCCTATTCCTAATTCCACCTTCAAGATTTCCACTCTGTTGTTGATTTCTTCTGATTTCTTGTTCATTACGATTCTCTAAAACCCTAGATTTGGTTTGATTTCCAAGAAATCGGTAGAAAAATAAACAAAATCTTGATTTTTTTTGGTTTAGTTGTGTTGTGCTGACTAGAATAGAGGCATTTTAAGTAACTATCTTGATTTGTGTTCATGCTCAATCGTATTTGTTATTCATTAATTAATTCTGTTGTCTATTTTGATGTGTCTATTAAGTATGCCTTGAATGGATATTAACGTTGTGTTTGGTTGGGAGATTTCGAACAGGATTTGGAAAGAAAAAGTGAAAAGGTAGTGAAATATAAATAAAACTAGGGTATGCTCGTGCCTAAAGCCACGATGAAAATATTATTGGAATGAAAATGTAATTGGAATAATTTTAAGATTTTAAACAAACAATAAAATGTAAGTCCCACAACACAGAAACCTAAAATAAAAATCAAATGAAATATGTTAGCCAATGCCCTGCAATAGAAAAAAATAAATAAATAAATAAATTAAGCACACCAGTCAATGCTCTGCAATACAAAGAAAATGTCAAATAACAAATTAAGAATATCAACCAATATTCTACAATACCAAAAAAAAAAGGACATATAACAATTTAAGCACGCCATTCAGTGCTCCACAACAGAAAAAAATGACAAATAAATAAAGCACACCAGTCGTGCTTTGCAATTCAAAAAAAAAGACAAAAATTGTGCAATGAACAGTTATTTTAAAAGATTAATACATACACAATCCAATCATATATTAAAAGCAACACCCTTCCTGCTAAAAATATATAAAGAAGCAAAAATTCAAATTCAACCAAAAAAAAAAATTGATTTTAAGCAAATTCAAGAGCATATTAGGAAGAAAAAAGAAAAAAAAGGCTGTATGACCGAGTGAATAATTCAAATGAATATTATACAACATACATTTAAACTTAGTTATAAATTGCACAGAGATAAAAGGCTTTACAAAACTAAAATTCACATAGATAGGAAACTTTACAAAATCTATATCGTAGCTGCATATGTACGCTTTTCACAAAAATAAATATGATCTTCAAACTTGTTCTTTCTTAGAATTCGTAGAAGCGCCTCATCACTTTCCAAAAAGTCTTTGTATCAACTTCTATGTATCCCCAATGAGGAGCATGTACAACAATCTAGCAATTTATGAAAATAAAAGTTAGTATATTAGTAGAAGAAAATCTATGTAAATATCAAAACTCTTTTAAATTGAAATTACCTTATTGCATCCCCATCGAAACAATCTTAGCATTTCTTTCTTGAAGAAATTAAAACTATAAATACAAAAGAATTAGAGGTAAAAAAATATTAAAAATGTATACATGTAAGAAAATGAGTAAAATGAGTCGATATTATCCATCAGAAAAGAGCATTTTGTGCATTTATTTTGATGTTGCAGGATGTTACATGTGATGTCTTTCAATAAGAATACTCTGATGAATAACTCAAATGATTCAGTTTCTTTTATAAATGCATGTTAATGTTATGGTTATTATGGGTTTATTTTGAGGGCGTGACATTATTGCATCCCCATTGAAACAATCTTAGCATTTCTTTCTTGAAGAAATTAAAACTATAAATACAAAAGAATTAGAGGTAAAAAAAATTAAAAATGTATACATGTAAGAAAATGAGTAAAAGGAGTCGATATTATCCATCAGAAAAGAGCATTTTGTTATAAGGAAATTAGATAAAAAAAAATAATGAAAAGAAAAGAAAATTGACTTCAACTTATAAGAAAGCTGTATTTTTTTTTTCCAAATAAATTAAAAAGAAAACAACTTACGTGACCAAAAATAGTAATGTTGTCCATAATTAGAGGTTGAAGGTCAATGGTGTCTCAACCTAAAAGTATCTAGTTATATGAATTTGACAACGATAACTGTAAGAAGGCAGAATGAGGTTTAATAATTGCCATAAAGAAAAATTAATCGACACAAAATTAACAACCTCTTAACATAATGTAGTTAACAACCTACTTTAAGTTCATTTGTGCATGAATATGACAACTGGAGAAATTGAACTACATAAAAGCACGGTGTAAATTATGTTAGTATCAAAATGTAATTGTAATTTATACGCATCATGTTGAAATTTGTAGAGTCTGTAGCATTTTTTGATTTTTGATAAAGACATTGAAAAAATATAAAGAAATATTATTCTTCTTAAAGAACTTTTAAGAATTTTAGTAGCAAATCGGATAATAAAATATAAAAATTAATTTCAAACAGAGGGTTACAATAAAGATGAGAAGAGCAAGTAAATAAACAGAATAAAAATGGAAGAATAAGAGGTATGTAAAGTACAAAATAAAAAGTATGCTCGTGCGTAATGACACGATGTAGTTGAATACAAATGTAATTTATCAAAATGTAGTTGAATACAAATGTAATATATCGAAAAACATACCAAAAACTTTAGACATTGAGAAATATAAAGAAATATTGTTTTTAAAACCCACACTCTATAATTTTGTTGGTACCACACATTTTACAAAACTCAATTAAAGATAACAACCCCTAGGCACGGGTATATATATTTGTTGTTTAATCATAAATATTTCGTGTTCATTATTCATTCGTTATCAAATAATACTAGCCAAAGCTATTGTACATCTATCAATCTATCAATACTTTACAATAAAAATAAAATTAAAAATTAATAAACACCAAATGAAGCACACCAGTCAGTGCTATGCATTCTCGAAAAATAAAATTCAAAATTAAACAACAAACACTGCATAGCAGACAGTGCTCTATAATTCCAAAAAATTAAAATTTAAAATAAATACCAAATAATACACACTAGTTGGTGCTCTGCAATTTTTAAAAATTAAAATTAAAATTATAAATAAACAATAAACAATGCACACCAACCAGTGCTTTGCAATACCAAAAAATTACAAAACACCAAATGAAGCACACCAGCCAGTGCTCTACAATCCAGAAAAGTAGAATTCAAAATCTATATAGTAAACCATGCACACCAGCCAGTGCTAAGAAATCTCAAAAAAAAAATAAAATTAAAATTAAAGCAAGTGACTCCATTCTATTGTCAAGTAAATATTATATTTAGTTCAACTCTCTACTTGAGAACCCCAAAATCATAAAGAAATAACAAATATCACATGAAATAGAATGAACAAATTAGAGATTAAAATCCCTCATTTATGTATGTAATGACAAATTAGATCGATAGTGCGTATGGTTGGGAAAAAAAGTAAAAATAGAAATTACCATAGAACTTATCCTAGCTCAGCGTCCTCGGTTGATCCAAACACAACTTCAAATAAATATGTTCTAATTAAATATGATTTTCCTTAGTGTGTGTACTCAGTCCATGACCTGATGACCAATTTGCAAAAATCAGGTGCCCTGTTTTATGATTTAGAGCACTCCTATATGGCATCCAAATAATAACCAATCAAAGCACTAACCAAAAAAGAGTTGAAACTCAATAAAATCCAAACAAACTATTGGCGACACACGATTTACACATGGGAATGCTAAAATCCTGAAAATCTAAGATCTTAAACAAACATTAGTAGTACACTATCCTCTTGTTTATCCACTGAATCCCATTAAAAGAAATAAGATCAGAAATTACAAATGCATTTAAACTAATATAAAAATGAACATAAGAAAGAAAATCCATGAGTATCAAATCATCCATCTTGTTGTGCCCTTGGGTCAATATCCACATGCAGGAAAAAAAAAATCTCCCACATACAAGAACAAATATGGTAGTCCATGCTAAATTGATGAGCATGACAAATCTGGTAAAAACAATTCTTATTTTTTGATGACATGACAAATCTCCTATTTTTTGTGGTTTAGATTTAATTTAGACAAAATGTAAGGGGGGAAAAAAACATATAATATAAAAAATTAAAAAGCAAATTGAGATTTAGCTGAGAGAGGAAGGAAGTGAATCAACAACTGTTATTAACTCTATTAAAGCTCTATTCAAAATCACTTAATAACAAAGGTTACATGCAAAAACAAAATTAAATTCCCAAATGAGCAATACTCAACAAAACAGCCCCATCCACAAAACTTTTTAGTTCAAACTTCCCAATTTCATTTGATTATTCATGTAAAAATGATAAAATTTATGATGAAATCATAAAACTGTCCTATTTATACCCAAAAGACAGTATATATTCATTTTACTATCACCCAATACTATCAATTTAACTAAATTGAATAGGACATTGTTTTCCTATGCATTTTATTAGTTTCTTTAGACAAAAAATCAAACCATATAATTCAAGCAAGCAATCAATCAAAACCACACATATATGCAGATGCCAAACTAATAATATGAAATTTAAGCTAACGATGCACTGTTTTATGTCAATATCAATAACCTACCAATCAATAATACCAAGAACAAAAAGAGGTTAGATTCCACAATAAACATAGTTAAATCATTACACTATGAAAAAAATAGAATTTGGAAATCAAATTGAAAGCAGGCTAACAAATAGAAAGCTAACAAATAGCAGGCTAATCATTAACACAAAGAAGCCATGAATTTGAAATCTAAGTAAATAAAAACTCCAACTCAACTTCTAGAAGTATAAAACAAATTAAGTCATGAATTTACCTTTTATATCTATAACTCATGCCTCAACCTGAAATAGCTTATATTGGTAAAGTTTCGAATTCTATGAAAATTGAATACATTTGTACCAATTAAACAAAACCGAAATTTTATTTAGATTTAACTGAGATAGGGGGTGGAAGTGAGTGGGAGTCATTCCATTATGAATCTTTAACCTAAAACAAAATCCAAACACACGTGGGCTCAACTGTGGTGTATGATGAGATTACAAATATACATTAAATATTGGGGGGGGGGAGGTGAGAAAGGTTCAAATGAAAACCTCTTTGTACAATAATGCAATAACAACATATTAAAAACCCCAAAATCCTAATACTAATATACCATTAAAAGCACGAAATAACAACCCATTCACATGGAAAATATATCTAAAAATCTAAGTTTGGGTGCTCACCACAAAAAAATTATTGAACCCATTAAATATAAATCTTGAGAGAGAGAGAGAGAGAGAGAGAGAGAGAATCACCACAAATCAACTATGTAGAGCATGTGTTGGTCTTCAAAATCAAAGAATCATGGAAGTAAGAAATTATTGAAATCAGCTTCCAAACTGCCATAATAGCTATCGACATTGGTGGATAAAAGAAAATAATTAATTATTAAGAAAAATGAAAACTAATATAATGGCTCATAACTGTATATAAGAAAAGGAAACCAGGCCAAAGCCATTTGAATTTATAAGTGAAAACAAAGCAATACCACAACAAATTATAAAACAGAAACCCCAATGGATTTTAATTAGGTTTAAAGTTCTGTGTATGGTGGAGAGGATCACCACTTATATTTCAACAAACTTGCATGTGCTCAAATCGTTACAATGTTAGTATTACAACTAGAAATTGGAAGTTATACCTTACCTTTTGAAGAATTTATGGATAAGCACAGAAAGATATTTGAATTGTTTTCTAAGGGAGGACCAACAAAAGGAAACATTAAAATGCTTTAGTAAGAATGCAAATCAAATACTTACCACAATGTTCAGATGCAAAAGGTTGTTAAGAAGTTTCACTTCTTCCTCAAGCTCTCTAATGTGAACCTATTAAGCAAATTTAAAGCAATAATTCAGACATATAGGACCACAACACAATGCTTCATAAACAAATTACCATAAATGTAAATAAAGCAATTAAATTAGAAGTGATTTTCTACTTTGAAGCACTCTTACTGCAATTGAAACCTTCTTAGATACATATTAATACCAAAAACAATTGAAAAAACTAACACAAAATAAATAAATATATCCAAAAGAATCACCATAAACAAAATATATCTTTTAGAAATGAAGAAGCATCAAATCCAAAATCAATAAGAGCACTTCTTAAAATAATAATAAAAAAAAAATTATAAGAACATTACCCCAAAACAAAACCCACTGCTCACATCCGCTGTGCACCACAACTCATCATCATTCTGCAAATCGCCACTGAATAATGTTCCAGATAAAGCTTAAGTAAATACAAAAGTATTCAATAAATACCAAAAATATTTTGTCTAAAGGCACAATGAAAATATTAAATATGACCATCTATTTTATTTTCAGCTTAATGTTAATAGTCAGGTTAACCTTAATGTTCACAATAACCCATTTAATGTTAACAATCCTCAACCCATTTGACTAACATGAAATAAAAATGGGTGTTAACATGAAACTAATTTTTTCCTTAACCCTCATTTGATTTGATAGAAAGTGAGAGCTTTGGGGGTGATGGTGGGGATGATGGGATGAAAAAAAAAAAAATAGAGTATCCAAATTTGTAGGAAAAAAATAAGTTAATTACTGATTCTATTCACAGATAAATTCAACACTGACAAAGTATCTTAATTTCTAAAATTTTGGGTTGAGATCTACGTAAAAATTGGAAAAGAAATTTAAATCACAATAAGGAAAAGGAATGAGAATTGGTACTTATGATCAATGAGATTGCAAAAATAAAAAATGAATGAGAATGACTTTATCTCTATCCAATTGACCAAAGTAGGTCAGGTCATTTTTGACGATTGCTTTTCTTGTACAAAAAGCCTAAGTTCAGGTTTGATTTGTTTTTGTATAATTTATTTTTTTAATTCTGACACATAATTTATTTGTTTAAGGTTTCAATCTTGTTCTGATTTTTTTTTTAATGCATTTTCTTGGCTAAATTAATAGTGCCCACTCTTAAAAGAATGCACATCATATTAATAAAGTTTGTTTATTTATCAAAAAAAAAAAAAAAAAAAAGAAGGATGCACATCATTAGACAGTTATGAATTTTTATGATGAAAACTACCAATGTTTGTGGTGTGTGTTAAAGTCAAATTGTGGTAAAATTATAAATTGCAAATTTATTGTGTGTGCACCAGTAAACAAAAATTATATTTATGACAAAGTATGTTTTAGATGAAGTTTAATCTTGGTTTTTTTCTTTTTTTGTGTGTATATAAATTCCATTGAAACATTTTATCAAACACTTAATAAGCAAGGAAGATAGAATGGTTATCGAACATTTTAGTAACAACCAAATGATAATAATAGCACAACAGCCATTCAATAGAGTAACTAAATACAATAGTCCCACAAATTCCTACTAAATCAAAGTAAATGGATTTTGTGGAACTCAACCAACTCTTCATATATGTGTGTATATATACATAGATAATATATATGTATAAGAAAAATCAACAAAACTCATGCATCTAGAAAAAAAAATAGAGGAAAATCCAAAAATAGAGGAAAATCCTCACAGTTTGATTTTGGAAAAAAAAATCTATAATCAATATATATACACACAATAATCTATTAAGAAAGATATGAGAGTATTATCTTTACTTTACAAAAAAACCCTACTAATCTGGCTGCTAATCACCCATAATGAGAAAGAAAATAGGAAATGGACTTAAGGTGGGTTTCATTGAAAACAGAGGGCGGGTGGGTATGTTAAGCGCCAAAAAAATTTGGAGAACCTCATGAGGAATGACCTATTGAGCATTGAGAAACTGATGGGGCCGTGACGTTGAAAATCCTCCCCTCCAAACAAACCCACCATCTGCGAAGTCGCCGATCTGCTATGTATTAGGTTTTTGGGGGAATGAGTGACTGATAGGGGTGAGGCTGTGACCGTTGCCAGCGAGATTGAAGAGGAAGAGTGAGCTCTGAGAGTGAGAGACGAGGGAGACAACTCAATTTTGAATTTTGAATGAGACAGAGAGAGAGCTAGTTGAAGAGAAAGGGATGGAAGGGAAGAATGTATATCCACCGTAGGATGTGAACAAACAATCTCAACCATTGAAAGATAATTTGTCTCTTGGACAATTTGTAACTGTTGGATTGAATTAATCTAATAGTTCACATTTTGACAAAGTTATAGCTACATTTCGCCTAGTTTCATACACTTTTTTTCTTTTCCTTTCCCTTTGCAAATCTCTTCTCAAATCGCTCAACCAAACACAGCATAAGAGTTTGTCCATTGAGATCTCATACGGAGTAGTTTATGGTCTGTTTGGTTGTTGAATAAAGGCTAGTCTGCTCATTGTTTTAATAAAAACATAATTAATTATTTGAGACCCAAGGAAATAGGGAATTCTAGTCAACGAACAGGGCTTGAAAATTACTAGGCAATCAAAAGTTCTGCATCATGTTGTGTTGTGGTGTCTTACGTCCAGTTATAACTTGGGGTTACTACTGAGCGTTTGCTAGGATTTTAACTCCATCTTCTATCCCCACTTCTTACCCAAAATGCACACATAAAAAAAATATAATAAATAAGTTCTTGCATCATGTCATATGTTGTAGGAAAAAATTCACTTTACCCTTGTGGTTAAGGGCATCTCCAGTGGAACTGTTAGGCATAGAATTAGAGTCATGAGTTAACATATAGTCATCAATTTGAGTTGTTTGTTACTTTGGTGCACATGCTATGTCCTTTGTTAAAGTTGGCATCCATCAATGGAGTCCTAACTGTAGCAGCTAAACCATAGCGCGCGCGCGCGAGAGAGAGAGAGAGAGAGAGAGGCAGGCTGCTGAAATGTGTTACACATTTGTACACACTCAAGTGTATCCTACTCTTACTTAACACACAATTTAGCATCTCCATTGCAACAATCATTCACTTACTATATCAACTAACTCTTGACCTACAAAATTGGGTCCACTTTTATCACTTTTTGTCAGTTAACACACTAATGTACAAATTTAGCATCCCCACTGGAGATGCTCTAATTTCTGAAGCATTTTGCCTTACCCTCTTACAGTTTGGATATAGGCAGAGAGCCCCTATGTAGTTTTGGATTAAATTGCAACATCAACACCATTAGAGTTAAATGACAAAAATACATTTATACCTTCTTTGTTTTTTTCGACTAATTATTCTTTGCTAAATGAAGCAGATTTAATACTGATTGTCTGGTGCTGAACCTGTTTTCTTCATAGTGCATGCCTTCCTCGCTGAGCTGTTACTCCATTCTTCATCACCACTAGAAAAAAAAAAAAAAAAAAAAAATTGTTAAACTGTTGGTCTTTCCATTGTTACTACATCAATTGCGCATATTCAAACACAAAGCAACAAAAATTATATATTTGAAACCCAAAACACTAAACTTTGAATTTTAAATGTTTTGGTGTTGAACTAACAGTTGTTGATGCATAATAAGCTACGGCAAGTCAGTGAAGAAGTTGCCTAGAAGATCCCATTTCGGTTTCTTTAACATAAAGCCCTATGAATCCCAATTTCTGAACCCTATATTAGATTTGTATCATATAGAAATGTAACACAAAAGGTTAAACCTTGGTGAACTACATCATCCGCAAGTCCTTGGCTTTGCTCATGAAAGTGCCACCAACATCACAAATGTTGGCAATCTTTTATCGACTATGTAGAAAAGCAAATAATGATTCAGATTTTGGCATTTTCCAATCAAACTTTGCTTTTTTTAGAGTTCCCATATATAATTGTTTCACAACTTCATATAAATATATCACTGATTCACAGAAAAAGGATATTGAAAACTTTCATTCTTGCCTCAACTATCAATTGAACTTCCTGGACTTGGGTCATCAAATGGGTGGGAGGAAGAAGATGAAGCCAAGGGCGATGGTGTCTTTTTGCATAGAAATTTGACTTTTGACTTGGCTTCCAAACTCATGCATGTAGCCATGAGTTCTGTGAATATGGACAGAAAATGTAATGGTTGCACTTTAACCCAAAATCACAAGGGAGGCCTCAGCCTATATCTAAACTACAGGGGGTAAAGTTTTCTAGTAGAGTAAAGTAAAATTTTCCCTATGTCATATTTCTGGTGGTTTGTTTCTTATATTTCTTGCCCGTCTCTCATTATTGTGGTGCAATGGCTATTTCATCCTTATTGGTAGTAGTTATATTGTGAGAAAATTTTATTTCTCAATAGTTTTGAATTGTGATGGATGAGTGAGAACAAGATAGAAAAGGAGGCCGGAGTATCTTTCTTGTCTGGTCTCCATTACAAAAAATAAGAATATGCCTAAGGATTGGTTAGTTTTTGTTCACCTTACCATTTCATTTGATTGGTTATACAAAACCTTTACTATTTTTTGTGACATGAAAAAGGCCATTTATAATAAAGTGTAGAAATGGGACACTAGCAGATATAGAGGCATTCAGACCCCAAGAGTTTGGGTGCTTGAAGTGGGTAATCCATAGGTAGACACCTGATCAAACAAGAAGCACTTTATGTTCTCAGGCAATCACTCCATGGCATATGTTACATGATTCCATAGGGATCGAGTCTTGCATTGTACAGAAGGGAAGCAACATGGCGTCAATAATGATCATGTGCATCAGAAAACTATGAGAGACAGAATTTATTTGTTAGTGTCTGGCTGATACTTATTTGTCATGTATATAGTGGCTAGATACTGCATTATAATTTGTGGATATTGTTCACTCCTAGTTGTGACTTTGACGATAGTTTCATTGTTGAGCTGTAGTGCTGAAGCTGTAAGTGCTCACTACAGTTTTCTTGGTTAGCAAAAGCAGGTGCCAAGAAATATGGAGAGCGAGCGACATATTAAAACTAAAATAAAATAGAACAAGTAAAATAAATAATAGACAATTTTTCAGGGAATATGTTCGGATTTGAACTGTAACGAGCAAACATACACTTGCATATACCTTTCCCCCCAGATCCTCTGCAGGGTCATTAATATTGAATTTGAGATAGCTGTACATGGTGATTTGAATCATATATGATTGTATTCCATTTTTAATTTGATTTTTGGTCTTCCTGATAATTGATTACATATGTGCACCCTTTTTTGGTATCCATGTCTGTTGACTATTCCCTTTCCTTATACACTTTCACATCAGTTGCTAATACTGGTTGATTCCTTCATACTTCACAGGATGGGAAGGTTTCACAACTGGAGCATGTCTTTATTCGAGGCAGCAAAGTTAGGTATTGTCTTGCATCTTAATTGAGATAGTTTGTTTGCTAGTAACCACATTTATTTGTAATAGTTTGTTTGCCTATAACCACATTTGTTTGGAACAAATGTGATTTCCAACCAGGTTTATGGTGATTCCAGACATGCTTAAGAATGCTCCAATTTTTAAGCGTTTGGAGTCTAGAATCAACGTACTTATTCATATATGTGTCTTTATCTTTCCTATGTCGGTTACCTTCTTTAGTTTTCTAATTTCTTTCACTTAATGAAGGGTAAGGGCTCAGCAATTGGAGTAGGCTGGGGTCGTGCTGTTGCAATGCGGGCTAGAGCAAGTTTATCTATATATATATATATATATTGTTTCCATTAACATCATAAAATGGGTCTTTGACGAAAGTGTAATGATTTGGCATATGTAATTATTTTGTACAAAATCAAGTTTCAGAACATTTGGTTTTCATGTCATGCATAAAAAATGAAAACTTTGTTTGAGACTCTGCTGGATCACAAGATGTTTGATCTATAGCATGCTTAACAGGTTGTGACCTCTCTATTAACGAGTGGCCTGACTATTAAACTTGTTTACTGTGCAGGCTCAGGCGGCTGGTCGTGGAGCTCCACCTGGTAGGGGTGCTGTACCCTCTATAAGGAGGTAATCGAATCCTTTGGTCTTATTGCATCCTCTTGGAAGTTAACGCATGCGTTGTAACCGTTTCTTGAGTGATGTCTTTGTCTACAAACCTTGTTTTTGTAAACCTGAAAAATGGTGTAAGAGTATATAACTTTTCATTTTTAGAGCTTTATGTTGCACAAGTATTTTACTGCCAGCTAAACGCATCTGGGATGATTATTATTGCTTAGTTTTCAATGTTTTTGTTTCCTTAAATCAATATTTAATGTTACCATTCATCCAACGCTCAATCAACTGGTAATAAGAGACTTTATTGCAACAAAGATTATATGGAATGTACCTATAGGCATGCACCAAATGTGCTTGGTAGAAATGGAGAAAGGAGAGCAGATTGAAAATCAGTGGACCAGGTTGTAGCGGATTGATTATAGTTAGATTCAAACGCGGCATCAAAGGTATAACCGGGTATTTTGGCTAGATTCTAACTGGCATCAAAAGCATTGGATGGGTGCTGTCCAAACAGAATGCAATGCTATCTCAATTACTTTGCCGATTTGGTACTTGGTATTGTCCAAGCTATGGTTTTAATTGGATGCCTCGGACCTAGGTAATAGCTTTGTTTGCTCTTAGTTTTGGTTGAATCCCCTAATTTAGGCTTTTGGCAAAGTAGTGTACAACTTTTTAGAGCATTGAACAATTCTGATTGGGTAAATGGTAAATAGGCTCAGCTTTTTTGGTTTCCTCACTATGAAAGTTGGTTATGAACTAATTCTGTAGAACAGTATTGTTGTTACTTGAAATTTTATAAATTCTAGTGAATTGACTGTTGTTAGAGCTTACAATCCATATTTGTACACAATTGAAGGCACTCCAGATTTGGAAGGCCATTGCTGTTTTGATTGTAATATTTTCAGTGCTAGGTTAAATGTTATCTTGCTGATTGGAAAATTGTCTCAGGCTCTGTTCGGATCAAAGATTTGAGGAATGACATGCAAAAGGAAAGAAAATGGGAACGATATCACTTCTCAAATCCTTAATTCAAACATAGTCCTAAAAGTGTTCTAAGTTGTGCCATCATGTGAAGAATGAGCCCCTTAGCGGCATGATAAAAGCCATGACAGAGAGTTGTGGGATAGGCTTCAGAGCCAAGCACATAAATATGCAATCTAACAGCATCTCCAATATCCTTGCATTAATTGTTTATCAAATCAAGAAAAAATATTTTTTCATCAAATTTAGAATTCATCAAATTTGTATTTGATGAAAATTTAAAAAGATAAAACATTGAAGATGATTTTTTTTTTTTTTTAATTTATCAAATTTGATAAATAAGAAAATTTGAGGTAACAAGAAATTTTTTGAAAAGATTTTAATGAAAAATTGATGAAATGATTGAAATCGTTCATATTAAATCAAGCTTTTATTCAAATTTTGAATCAAATTAGATATAAAAAAAGAAAAAAGAAAAGTGAAGGGTTGAAAACGCTCTAACATCCCACAATACAACATAAATGCAAAAAAAAAAAAACTGTAAGCTTCATATAAAGGATGGCTGTAAAATCCATAAATGATGAATCCACAGCCCCTGCCTCACCGTGTGAGAGGGGACTTTCAAAGTATCAAAATTTAGATGTGTGTTAAAAAGATTTCTTTAAGTTGTGTACTGCAGTACAGGAAACTTGACACATGCAAATTGCAATCAACCACAAGGTTTTATAAAATTTACAAACAAAAGGTTTTGAGCCCATCCATCACTTTTATTTCTCACAAGCAGAGACTGTACATAATGACGCTGCAATGGACCAAACAACAAGTCTGATCATTCGTTACACAATCAACTTAGTGGAAGTAACCATAGAGCTCCAAGAAGCAAATGCAAAAGTTCCATGGATTAGTATCATCGGTTGTGGGAGCGGTCAATATAACCCTAAAGAATCTGAAGGGAAGCAGAGCATTGGGACCTATTATTGGCCACGAAGCAAACTGACCCGGTTTGCACATTGTCTGGTCGTTCTCGTGCACTCTCAAGTTAGTCCAAGTCTTCCCATCCAGAGAACCCTAGAATTATTGTCAATAAAATTTCATGATAAACTCTTCATTTTTTTCTTCATTCAAACCATGATTGGGAGGGGGATGGAGGAACAGAAAACAACAGCAGAGCATCATATTTACCTGAAAATTCCAACTTCTTATGTAGGCCCTTGACCCGTCCTGCCTCAAGGTATAATAGTTGCACATAAGCTGCATCCATCAAACAATCTAGCATCAGAAAACTAATAGGAGGGAAAAAGCCATGCAATTATTCATATAATATATTTCTATAGTTGAAGGCAACGGGGAAAAAAGGCTGAGCACATTTTATAGACAATCTTCACTAGTGTCAATTGTCAGTTCAATGTTCGTTTCCATGAGAAAAAAAATGAGGAATTAATTATAATGCCAGACCTAGACGGAAGGTAGTTTTTCACCAAATAAAGAAAGAAAAAAAAGAAAAAAAAAAAGAGGCCACAAACAAAATACAAATGCAATACCTGGTGGTCTTGGCCAATATCAATAATCCACCACGTGCAATTCTTTCCATCTTCAATCCTAGGCCCGGCAAAGGATGTTCCCTGATGCACAATAAATCAGTTCAATGACCGTCCTAAAGAGCTCAGAAATTATAGGAACTTTAACAAGAATTTGATTTACCATAGGGTCATACCTGGTAAGTCCTTGAGACCAAAACCTTAGGGTCGGTATGTCTTGAAATGGGACTGCTAGTACTAACACAAATTCTCTGAAGCATGCAATTTACAGGATAAGCCATCTTCAATCCTAGGCCCGGCAAAGGATGTTCCCTGATGCACAATAAATCAGTTCAATGACCGTCCTAAAGAGCTCAGAAATTATAGGAACTTTAACAAGAATTTGATTTATCATAGGGTCATACCTGGTAAGTCCTTGAGACCAAAACCTTAGGGTCAGTATGTCTTGAAATGGGACTGCTAGTACTAACACAAATTCTCTGAAACATGCAATTTACAGGATAAGATATCAATAATTTAGCAAAACCATTGGCAAATGAAGAAAATAACAGTATTTCGAGAAGTTACCTTTGCGAGAACAGGATTTACCCATTGATGTTCCCCATATGATGTGCCAATGAAGTACAGAACTCCGTTGCTGTCACCATCACGTATGTATTGCAGCTCCTTAAAACTAGATCGCCTGTGTTGGAATCTTGCAATATAAATTGAAATTACGTCAGCCATAAATCATTCATTTGTAAGGATTTCAAGTAAAGAAACTAATTTTGACATGCTTTCCTACTGCACGCAAGCAAACGTACATAACTTGAACTCCAAAACTTGGACTCAACTTTTAAAGAAGCTTCGTGTTGCAATTGTGCATGACATCACATTATTTGAAAACCATCTCTACATATTGATGTAGTTGGCAAAAATCAGTTTCTTTGAACGGTAACCAAATAGAAGATGAATTATTGATCACTTAAAACAAAGATTTCATAACTCTCCGAAAGATTAGTTTCTGAAAATCAGTTGATCTCAACTGAATGGAATCAAAGGACTTACAAGCATCTCTTACATGCCTAAGCCCTGAGACTTCCCATTTCCAACCAGACACCCGAGTCAAGAGTCAAAGCCATCTCTTAGTAGTGGAAGTCATACTGCATGATTTATTACCAGAAATAATACCCGTGCAATCTATTACTCCAAGTACTTCTGATGCTATACCACGCCACTCAAATGCCTAAGCTAAGGCAACATTTAGGCACGTTGAAGTGATAAGGACAAAAAAGGCATTGGATGAAGAAGGATTTAATGGTCTTTGGAAAGATTAGATTTTAGGAATTATTACCATATTAGAATATTATTTAGGATTTTATTAACGATTTAATTATTGTCTTATTTTATTTTGGAAACTTTTAGTTGGGACTTTCTTAGATGTGCCTATAAACAGGGCATTATGTAGTGGGGTTATTCAGATTTGACTATTGAATTGAGATATTGACTATTCAGATCTAGGTTCAATTTTCTTTTCTTTCGGTGTAGTTTGTTATTTTCATTTACAATATTTTATTTTCTGGTCGTCCTACATCACAAAGTTTTCTGCAAGCACCCTGGGACTCTGTGCGTCTTGTGGCTTGGAAGCTAGATGAAGAAGTTTCGCCCTGGCACTATGCCCCCATAGGCATAGCCAATCCTAATCATAGAGATATCATGCCACTAAACCTATCTATGAAATCTCAGTAAACAAGACAAATCCTAACAACTTGATTGCTTTCTGACAAATCTTAACAAAATCTCAAGAAAACAGGACAATTAGTTATGGCCACGTGACTAACCTTCCATAAATAGAAGGAAGTACTCCTTTACATCACTAGTTTCTTCTACATCACACTCTTCAAGAGAGGTTGGTCCTAAACCATGTACTCTGAGCTCCTGTACTCCACTGCCTCCTCTTTCTCAGATAGATGGATCTATCTCTTCCCTAGTCATCCATTGGGACTCTTTTGTCTCACATGTTTTGTCACTCTCCAACAAACCTCTAACCAGCCCTTTCACAAGACATGATCGTATAATTGAGTACATAGGATGCAAGGAAGTAAAATATTTACCAACACAAGAATATAATTTAATTTGGTAAGAACAGGATAGACTTTACTGTCCATTTCAGCTATGGGATTTCACCCAAAATCCACTCAATGTCAAATCCAGGCCAGACAAATTCTGTCTAGCTTCTCATTGTCAACCTAAAGCCAATGTAGATTTTCTTTCATGAAATACCAATAGAATTTTGTGTCCACAATAATGAAGAGGCATCCCTACATGGCTCGTTTTATATTTGCCTGCCTAACTTGATGACATGTTCAGCCACAAAAAGGCTAATAGAATCATTATGAAGATGTCAAAAAGCCATAAAATTTCAAAATAGGTGGTCTAGATAGATACACATGGACCAGAAGGTAAAAGTAATACAACAATTATCGTGGCATTTAGAGTGATAATGGTAATGCCTTGTCTGCCACCCTTTTTCCATTCTATTTACAATGAAACATGGAGAAAGGAAGGGAGAGAAAAATAAGGCAGGTTAGCTTGAGTGGAAAGTGTCTTTATATGAAGAGAGATGGATTTGGGGACGTAACACTACACAAGAACGGTCAATCGTGATACGTCTATTGCAATGAGGCTCAACTGAAAAATAGAAACTTCTAGTGTTGACTAAGATAGATGGTAAACTAAATCTGTAATTTGATTCATCACTTAGAATAGTGCCTTGATCCAAAATTCTTCTCATCCTGTATGTTCTAAGCAACCAAAAAAAAAACATGCATCTTCTCCCAATGTCGTAAATCAAGTGTGAGTGTTATTATATTTCTTATTCTCAATTCAACAAGTCCAGAAGTCAAGATTGTACAGAAGAGATTGACATTTAAAACATAATACTTACTTTCGGTCACCTTGTGGATTAGCCAATCCAAATTCTAAATAACAAATGGCCTCTTTCACCTGTTACAGTCCAATAAGAGAAGTCAATGAACAGAATAACCCTACATAATCAACATATCTAGAAATTTTTGGCTGAAAATTCATATAACTGATAATTACAATTTTACTCACCAAAAAATCAAAAGTAGGAATCATTCTACTAAGGCCACTCCTTTCCAACTGCAATAGCATAAGAAAGTGAGAATGAGGATACAAGAAATAAGCCCAATTTTTAATCTGGCGAATAGATCTCTACTATGAGATATTATCTCTTTATTCTGAGCCACATACCTTCTTAAGCAAGGCATATGGAAGTAATGGGAAGCGCACAAAGGGTAACAAGTAATTAATAGACTGAAATCTCTCCCCAAAAAGAAGTTCTGGCGCAGAATTTAATATCATCTCATCCACTACGTCCCACACATAAAATTCCTTTGCTTGCATGCACCATAGTAAGATTGCATTAAGAACTCTTTCTTCAGACGTTACTGTCAAATCTGGATGCTGCAAAGCCCATAACTATTATAAGAAATGTTCTAATATGGACACACTGGAAAGTAGTCTTTCAAAAATATGGTCAAAAATATGGCCAGGTACTTTAGTATCAAAGACTATGCATTAGAAGACTTTAAACTTGTTTGATAGACATCCCATCCATCTAAAATCCATTGAAAGATTGGTTTTGAATAGTACAATATTTCAGTACATCATAGCTTGCCACCACACAAGACCATATATCTTCATCCTAGAATTTCTTTTTCTTTTCTTTTTTGTTACTAAAAGTGAAAATTAAAAATGATCTTCTCGTTTTTCTCTCTTTTTTCTTTTTCTTTTTCTTTGTTGAAAATATTTTTCTGTGTAATTAATACAGAATAATCCTTTATTCATGTTTCTGTTACTAGTAATCTCCATATTGGAAATTCTTGGACCTTCCACACTGGACTTCACAATATATGATGTATTGAAGCAAATGCAAAACACTCATTCTTGTTATCTCATTGTCATAAACAACTTTGAAAGAAAGAACCCACCTTAAGAATCTTGCTAAATGTTGCCTCATCTAACAAAACGAAGTCAATGCTTGCAGTTGTACAATAATCGAAGTGCATTGAAAATTTCTTCGCGCATGTTTCTTCAATAAGTTTACATGGTGGAACAGACGAAATCACTTGGAGAATTGGGCACACTGCGTCCTGCAACAAAGTTCAATGGTTAGCTATAGAAACAACAAACCAATTACTTTGCCAAAAGTGTCTGCTTCCTCGTCCAATAAACTTGTGCATAATAGAAAAATTCTTGTTGTATGACCCTCTTCCAATAGAACTCCATCCCTGCATATAATATGTAGATGAGAGGTATCAATATATCATAATTCATTATCATAAAAGGGTTCTCTTCTTTTGTTTTCAGAAGTCCGAAACCGCAACACTTCTCCTTTCTTTTATTTCTAGTCATACAACTAGCACTTTATTCGATCAAAAAAAAAAAGCACTTTAGCATAATGATAAACACAAAGATATAGTGATGACTAAATTGAGCAATTATATTTTGTGCTGAAGAAAGGATTACAAAATACCTCTGACAGGCATTCCAAAAGTTTTTTGCAGCATTCCTGATGAAGGAGAGTAACACCAAATTGATCTGCCAATAGAAGAAGCTGGAGTAGCAAGGTATCAATATCCATGGTGTCTTCCTTGTTGAGTTCTCCATAGTACATGAATTCAAGCATAGCCTTAAATGCTTCCAGTGGCACATCCTGTAAAAGAGCCTTCGATGAAATGCTCTCACTCATTCCGTTGGTGAACATCTGCCAATGCAACCATGTCGTTCAATAGCCATGTCATTAAATCATCAAAATTGTTAAGAGAACACAACCATCATCGTCCTTTCATACTTACTCAATGGATATGTAAAGTTAATGCAATCCGCCAAAATATGTTGCATGGCAACAACGTAGCTTTTGGACATCACACAAATATATGGTTTGCATACAGAGAATCCCAAAAAATACAAAAACATTTAGAAAGTGTGGAAACTAGATTTTTTCTTTATCAGATATAAATTCAAAAATTAAAACTTCAATTTACTGAGGTCCCCCTACTCCAGCCTTTCACGATGTGTAATGAACATGTATTGAGATGAGTATGAGTACATTCACTTTATATTCATATAAGGTTGACTTTTCATAACTCCACAACCACATCAGTCACACTCATGTTCATTGTAAAGTGAAAGGATCACTCATACATAAAATTGTATAGGAGCTGATGTAGATTCAATCTTAATTTTTGCTTGTGGTTTTCACCTGAACGATCAAAAAATATTTTATCCCAATCTTCTTGATGAATAAGAATTATGGTGGCACTAGTTCTATACACGAAAAGCAGCAGATTCTCATTATGATCTGAATGTAAGTTCATTATACACTAAACAGAAGTGTTGACTTATTTGCCCAAAACAAACTCCAACTAATAGTCCGTTATCCAACACAATACTTATTTTCCTTGTAGAGCTGGATTATTTATTTTAACCCAGGAAAAAGAGTGAAATTCTGAAAAAAGCTGAGTGTTGAGCAGATTATACTGATCCGCCATCAGAATTTTATTCTCACTATTCCACACACATACATGTTATATAATTGGCATGAGGAGTCATAATGTAAGGAAGAGCTAAGAAGTTGGCTCACCTTTAAAAAGGGGACACTCCATAAGCCAAGGATAATTTTATGCGGCTGGGCAACAAGACCATGACCGCCAATATAGATGTCCACATCACTGTACTCGCCAGTTATGAGAAATTGTTCAAGCCTCTGCATATTGAGGGGAAGTCCTGAGGGAAAGGTTGTACCACAATGGATCTTAGAACTTGGATATGATATCTCCACATTCTTGCCTGAGTCAAACAATTTTTTGTTCAGTTTAAAACGTTCAGTAATTTCTTCACACTGCTTCACCAATGGCATCACTTCATATTTTAAGCTCAGAGCCCTCAGGGAGTTGAGTTGTGACTCTAAAATCTGCATCATATAGACATAAGCATTGTAAGAAATTAAAGTTCTATAATCACAGAAACACCTCGAAGTTGTAACTTTTTTTCAGCCTAGGAAGTTACAATGATTATGAAATCACCAGTGGTTACTGGTTAGTGACTTTTTAACCAAAATCTCCCAAATATCTTAAAGAGCAGACAAGTTTCAGTGTTAAATTGATAAATAGCATGCAATTTAGGATAAAATTATTTAAGACCTCGAAAATCTCCAAAGTCAAAAATCAATACCAATGGGATTGTTCTTAACTCAAGAATCAATAAAACAATGGGTTTGTTATAAGTCTCTATTTTAAATATTGCAAACGAATAATTATCACACCTCAGGCTGGCCAGTATCAGTCAATTTTGGAGTTGGAAAGGTAAAAGGAGAGGAAGAGGATAAAAGGTGGGAGTAGGACGATTCCATAAGGCTCTATTCATTTCCATAGTTGGGAGAATATAAAAATACCTCAGACCAGAAAAAGAAACAAATTATGCTATCCTCATTCCAGTCATGCAATTGGATAGAATATTTGAACTCATAAGTGATTTTCATTCTAAAATGTAGTAATACAAATATAACAAGACTGGCCACAAAATTATAGACAGGAAGTTTCTGTTAAGTTGCAATAACCAATTAATAACATGCTAAATCAAGCTGGAGAACGAAAAAAAATGATCAAGATAATTCAAAATGCATAAAAATTAGAGCATAAAACACAATAATTACCTTGGTATGGCCTGTGTAGATATATTGCAGAAATGCACGTAGAACTGGATAGCTTACATCCTGAAGCTGGATGACATCTTGATTGCACAAACTCGAACCAAAATTACCAGATGCCGCCAAGATTACCTTATGAGCCGGGACAGTCTTTTCCTCCTCGCCCACAATGAAGAATATATCGGATAGCTCCCAACTCTCAAGAAAGTTCTGGAGCCCCCAATTTTCATGATGTCTACTTTCATTTTCCATCTCTTCGACACCATCCTCATCTCCTTCATATTCACCACCATTCACATGCTTCCACAATGATATATGGTTTTGTGTTAGTGGCAAAACATTCACATTTCTATACCCAACATGTTTGTCCCAACTACTGAGCCCAACGTACTGAACGCTACAATTAGGATTCGAATCAAGCCACTCAAAAACAAGATTCTGAAAAGGGTACCTTCCTTTGCCAATGCTAATCAACCCATCATAGATACTGATCCAATAGCTCTGGAACGCCGAAGAACAACACAGCCCAATCCCAGCCGCATCAACCACTGTCTTCCCATCAACCTCAATTTTCAACCGGCGATTCCTGTGACTACCAAGAATCACAGTATAGTGGGGACTATTATCCCTCTTGTAATGGTAATGTTGACTACCTACATGCTCTCTAAACACGACAGTGACGTCGTTGTGAGCAAAAGCCTCAAAAGCCACACAACCTCTTCCGGCTTCCCTAAACCTCAAATCATTGCGCCAAGCACACTCAAAGGGTGCTACAGTAAGAAATTTTTTCTGCTGTTTCTCAACCATCTCTGCTTTTTAGACAACAAACCTTCTTTACTCACTTGACAACTAGACTGAAAAACCAACAATTTATAACAAAAAAAACAATAAATAAATTAAGCACTTGAGACTTAAACTAAACAGCTAGTGCTATGATTTGAATTTTCCATGTAAAAAACAAACAAATTCCACAGAAAGCAAATCAATCCAAAGCAAGAAAATGATAGGAATGGTAAAGAAAAGGAGGGTTTTGACAACTAGACAGAAAATCCAAGCCTAAAAAACAACAGATAAATAAAAATAAGCACTTGAGAGCTAAACTAAACTGCTAGTGCTATATATTGAATTTTCCATGTAAGAACAGACAAATTTCACAAAAAGCAAACCAATCCAAAGCGAGAAAATGAAGGGAATGGTAAAGAAAATGAGGGGTTTCCAAATATTGTTGAAAAAAATCATATCCCACCAACGAAATTTCATTGTTAACCAAAAGGGGCAAAAAAAAAAAAAAAACAGATTATAAGATTCAAATGTCACTATCTGAAATTGCTAGAAACCCTTGACCCAACACAAAAACCCAAACCCTGGAAACAACTGTATATACATAAAAATTCATGATTTGAAAATTCATCCTCATCCTACACCACATACTTATCCAAGCAGAAGAAAAGTCAGAAAATATCTAACACTACACTAGAAGAAACCCAGATTAGACCTACAAAAATCTGGATAAAACGACAATTCTAGCTGATGTGTGAAGATGAAAACAACAAACAAGTACACCAGATTGAGGGGAAAAAAATACCAACCTCACAAATTCTGTTGATTTTGAAGAGAAATTAATGGTGGGTCGTGGCTTTAAATTCATGGAACTATCGCTGTCATCAAATCGAACCAAAAGACAAACCGATATTTCTACCTCGTCGTCTCATACATCTGTATCTCTCTCTCTCTCTCTCTGTATATCTATATATTTTGCACACACACCTATAATGTTTTGATTGGGGAAAGTCGTTGGGTTATGATCAGAGGGTGAAAGTGTCGGAGTCTGGGCCCTGTTTTTGATGTTTCCGGAGATTTCACTGTGAGTGAAATTTATGGTTGAAAATAACTCTTTACATTTACGATAAATTATAACGGAGCCTTTTCGAAATAAGTTTAGTTCGGACGAAATTCTTAAAAAAGATTAAAACGTAATTACAAATCACAATTTTATCATTTTTGTGGTCTTTTCATAAAAAATTTATAAAATTATAAAAGTATGATTACAAACCACGTTTTTAATTAAGAAAACATAGCTTTTAATTAAAATAAAAAAACGCATTTTGAAAACATATTTTCAATAAAACACAAATTCTTCATCTTCTCTCTATCCGACACACACACACCCACCACGATCACACACTCACATCTTTTTAATATATATAAATTTTATTTTATAAATTTGGGACCAATATTAAATATAACAATGATTCATCCCACTAAAAATATCACCACTAATAGCACTAATGCATTAAAAAAGTAAAAA